AACTCGTTCTCAGTGCTATCAGCCTATCCGCGTTGCTAAAGTTTCTCTTTTGGAAAACTTGGTGATGATAATTTTCGGACATTCTTTTTTAGGGCCAGGGTGAATGGAAAAGGAATCTTAACTTTTCATGAATAATGTTCCTGTGTCCAAACAGTCAGACGAAATCGCTCCAGGCTTCCTTTGCCCACGTGGCTTCAACTATGCAAAATGACCATCCTTGCATAGCAAAAATCCAATACTTTCAGGAAAGCATTGACCGCTTTTCAAGGTTACCTAAATCTTCGTCTATTGTAAACGAACTTTTGATTACCTAAGAAAAGCATCGTTTTTTTCTTCGGCATTGTCTTGTCCAAGTAGTACAAAAATTGGATCCATATATTCATGAACATTCACAATCTTTGTTCTCAGCCTTTGCTGTACACCTGAATCTCTCAATGCTCGTGTTTTAATGCACTGAAACGCACACAATAACGAACCCTAAATAACATTAACGATTTTGCTACTGCCTGGTGTGAATTCTTCACAAATCACATTACTGTGCATGGATTCTTCTTACTCGAGGTCAAATTCCGCAGGAAGCTGCCATCTTGGATGCACTTTTCCAGGTGTTAATTTAATAGTGCGACAAATGCTGCTGACTGAGATCAATCCCGAAATTTCTGGAACCGCCTTCATGACTTTTATACCTTCAGTTGCGCCTTCAAATGTTTCTTTGATTGGCATGCCTGCGAGTACCTGGGCTGTTAGTATGATGTTACCTGACTCTAGATAATAAATTAGTTTTGTTATCTTATGCGGATCAAACCCCTGCAATGACTGCTCACATGTGTTGTTCCGTATAGCATATTTTTCCTTCGGGAATAATGCCAAGACTTTAGCGAATGTTCTTCCTTCACACCATTGAATATTTCTGTCCTCTCTGTAGATTTATTAATGTTTGTGACTGCGGTAAGATCGAAAATATTCAGGGACATTTTACTCAAGGGGTCCCCTCGTGCTGGATGAAGCATTTCTTTCACCGAAAGACGTCATTTGCGAACACTAAATTTTTGGGGTAACAGTACTTGAAGCCGGTCTTTGCTTTCTATTTCTCATCAATTTTAACCCTATTATTTCGCGTATTGACGTCCTCACTGCGGTGGATTGGACTTATGACAGTTAAACACTCGACGATCAAGATTTGCCCCTCAGAAATAACTTGTTAGCCCCTTGAACGTTCTATTTTAAACGCCAGGTCCTTGCTCAGTAGACCCTTCTTGCTTCAGAATCTGGTGGTCGGCTATCGTGCAGACATTGTCCTTCTAACTGAGACAGCAGCAACGTCTTCGTAACTGACTCCGAGCCGTTTCTCTCAGTCCATAATTATATTTGGAATAACCGTCAAGATAGACGTTGTTGTTGTACCTGTGCTTATGGCAAGCATAACAAACATTTCTGCCGCTAGAACGTCCATGTTTTTTCCTACTGAAGGGTGCTTCTGGCCCCAAGTTGCTTAGAAAACAAGTACCAATTAGTTGTTGGTTATGGTTATCCCACGCAGAACGTCAGAGAAGGTTTTAATATTCGTCACGCACGTGCACTTGATGGCGCGATCGATCTAAGTTATAATTATCGACTGAACGCGGATGACCTTAGTCTTCCTGAAGTCAAGTTTTTTTTACATTCCGGCCATGGAAAGTTCAAGCTACTACTCGTCAGTGCGGCTGTCGTTGTCGAAGATGTCCAGCGTGTGCTCCACGACAAGGTGAAAGCAGGGTTGCTGACTTATGCATGATTTAGTTTATAGTGATTGTAGACTTGCCCAGCATCCGCCGCATTCTCTTCTCATCCTCCACCCGGAATCGGTGTCAGGACAGAGTCAAGAAGATCGGTGGCGGGGGGACAGCGAGCCCTGCTCGAATCCATGGACGCTCGCATACGAAATAAGTTTGTCGATTTTCTTACTCTAGGTTTATGTATGCGTAATTTTCCGAAGAAGTTGTTTGCCTTTACCGTTGTTTTTCTTAGGAGTAAAGACTAATTGGCGAATTTGTAAGAATTATTAGCACACGTCAGTTCTTACACTCAGCCCGATTTCTTCTTAAATTCGAATGATGTCATTATTAAACCTGACGAAGTTTCCCATTCACATATTTCTCGTTTTGTCCTCAGTAAGACAATAGTTAATGGAACAAAAGATTCTTTCTTCATTTGTTTGTCACCCTAGGCTGCGAAGGCTTTTACCCCGTTCCCTACGGCAAAACGACATTCTAGCTCTGCCCGCGTAAGAGACGGATAGGAGGCTTTCCATGGAAAATATTTGGTCAAAGAGGTCAGATTCGTCGAAAATCACTCGTGAAATGTAATAAAAACTTTTTTCTTGTTCAGTAAGAACCCAGAGAAAAACTTAACATCTCATTCATCGAGAGGCTCTCCGAAACGCCCTACTCTCCATTCTGTATCTTATTGACGCCCTTAGGCCTGCAGCAACATTATGTTTGTAGATAACGTTAGAATATAATCTTTGCCGAAGGATCTCGGTGCTTGGGTGGAGATCAGTATGCAACCATCACCACAATGTACCAGGCCTGCAAAAATACCATATAAATATTTCACATTGTCTAAATGACACTTATAGCTTCCAGGAAAGCATCTTCAGTCAATTCTACGTCAATTTTGTTCGATCTCACCTGGAATGCGGCACATCGACTTGGTGACCATGATTCACAAATGAATAGTAAAATATCTAAAATATGTTTCTTTTTAGAAAGACATGTGCACAGTGGTAGAGGGGAACTCACCGATCCGTTGTGCCTTACGGGCTCTCTGTTGAGCCCAACCAGCAGCTGCACAGCTGCGCGTGATATAGGCATTATGGTATTACCAACAAAGACAAGGGAAACTGAAATGGCGGATTCTGGCTTATTAGCCGTCGCCAACCTGTCACACCCAACCCTGAAGTGTGCAACACCTAGGGCTCAAATCTTCGACCTGTTATTTAGAAATTTAACGCCTCTAACCGCAAAGACGTTGGTTCGTTGTCCATTGGGTTGTGATAGGGAATATAAAACGTAGATCGAAACCTACCGGACAGCGAGCCGATGGCTCAGCCGATAAAGGCGTCGGGCTTCTGCCCAAAAAAGTTGCGGGATCGAGCCACAGGTGTTCCACACTTCGGGGTTGGGTATGACTGGCTAACGACGACTAATAGGCCAGAAACCGCCAATTCAGTCCCATTTGTCTTTGTCGATAATAACCTTCTGCCTAGATTTGAGTGTCCTTATCAATTCCCCATACACTGCGGGAAGTAAACGGGTGACCTTATCTTAATTTAAAAGATCCCGCATGGCCTTGAACGGGGACTGCGCCTTAAGGCCATGTTTCTGTTGCACCATTCCCCTTCATCGTGAACATGCCACGAAGCTACGCACGAAAATGTCCAGGCTGAACACTGAGCTCATGTTTCATTCAACGGGTAATAGAACAGTGGAGGTGGCGTTCGTACAGCTCTTAAAAAAATAGTTGTAAGATTATATGTGTTCCTTGTTTTCCATCTATACTGCAAATCTAAATTGAGTGCGACGCCCGCTAAACGAGGGAATTTGTTTTAAAATGATGCTACTTAAATTGTGTTCTTACTATTTTAATTGTGGTATAGTTTCAAACCACGTGCACGGGTCGTTATAAAAGATCGGCATGTAAACAATGGATTCTTATAGGTCTAGCGCATTACCCTCACCAAATAAGCTGAAATAAGACTTTGTCGGAGATTCGGACGACCGCTCCTGAGCATCCAGTTTCGATCCGGTGTCGCTCAAGAAACTATAAATTTTACCCTCTGGGACGTAATTGTGGCCCTTCGACGTTTTTGACAACCCATTCTCTGGCACAAATGCTGTCCTGATCGACATTTTAAGAGCTGGTGCAGATGAGATCCCTTCGTCCTTGTGGTGCACAATACTAAATCTCGCTCTCTAAAGAGAAACCTTTGTCGACTCATGGAAGCTATCGCACATTCTGCCTATCCCTAAACGCGGTCGCTCTACGTTTTATGGTGATTGTTGGCCGATAAACATATTTTCAGCATCTGAGAAATCTTAGAGATTTTGATAAAAATATATATATATATATATATATTGCTAATAGAAGCGAAGATTCGAGTCCCCGGACATAAATGAGAAGAAG